ACTAGAATTATATAAGTTTGAAAAACGAAGTTATTAGAATTTAGCAGATGCTATATGACAAAGCTGTCCTTTAGATTGCTGTACGATTGTATATGGAGAAGTAAACACAAATATTGATAGGATACAATAACTGATAATAAGAGATTGTAGAAATAAGCGAAGGGAAAAATTGTTAGTATTTTTGAAATAATTCTTACTGGCAGATGATTTATGATTAAGATTGTAATGCCTAATCATTAATGAAGTAAACCTTAGAGCACACCCACATCTTTATCGCCAGGGCGTGTACATTTGGCCAACATAGCGGCATCAAGACTAGTTTGGTCGGCTGGGATCTCGCTGATTTCTGTCGATCTGCATTCGCAGAATTCACCACTCCAGCCAACTGGGCACTCACAAGAGCCGCAGACTAGATCCCCGAGGTCCGAACAGCGAGCTGAATTAAGCACGGGAGGAAATGAAGCGCAGACAGAGGCCAGGCAGTTACAAGCAGCAGTCACGTTTAACATAGCCTGTAAGGAAGATAAACGATGAAATAGTATAGGAAAACAGTAAAAGTTGAGAGGGAACTCTTCCTAGACTATAATCAGCAAATTTGTTTTTAGGAGACATGCAACAAGATTTTAAGTAAAAAACTGTATATAATTCCAAGGATAAATGTAGGAAATTTATTATATAAAATCTAGCAAGGAAATAAAAGTAGAAATAAAAGCCCAAAAGATAGAGTAAAGATTTAGCTCGAAATGAAACGAAATGGGCAAACAAATTTAACGAAAGGTGTTCTTTGTTGGAACGACAAAGTATGCCTAAGAATAATAAAAGATATAAAAATCAGTGAGAAAAATGAATGAAAATGTATTGGAAGCTTTCTGGCTGAAAATATCTGTTGGAAAAGCAGGAATATGTGAAATTCAATGAAAGCGTCAGCTCTATTCATATTATTGAAGGAAAATTCGACTACCAGTCCTGCATTACCTTAAAGGAAAAATAATTAACAGATCTCATATAAGTGATTTATTGGCAGTCTCGAAACCCTACTTATGAATTAAAAATAAGTAGTCGTCGAGTGTCATAGAAAATATAAATTTGCTTCATCGACAATCCCAGCAAAAAAAATGAAATGGAAAAATGCCTGGCCCTACTTGAAATTCACATCTGTTCTGTTACTCAAGAGCACTCATGGCGATGTG